ACTTTGACAGCTCACAGGGGTGGAAGTGTGCATGTCATGAATAAAGAGCTTGTAATGCAAGAAAAAAAAAAGTCAACGATGTTGCGAAATATACCATAATTTAAAGTAAAGTATTGTAAGCTGTGTCAACACCATGAGTTGGCAGAAGAACTGACAAACAGACGCAATGTCCATACTAAAAATAAAGAGCACAGAGGAAAATAAGTAAACAAAACAACATAAAAACAAGTGGAAGGTGGACAGATCTTTTTTAGTATTAAAGTACTAGAATAAGAACTGACCGATCCACCTCTACAGAGCTCCTACTGTAATATCAGTCCTCCTCACTGACCTGTTGCTTTACCCTTAACCCTCTACAACCCAGGAACCAATGAGGCAACTCTCTGCCAAGTCTTAATTTATCCCCCACACAATTCCTCAGCTGATAACCACATTGAGACTCATTCTGCTGTTATCTGAGTGGGAGAAACGAGCAGCTTGCTCTTTGTTAATAACAGCTTTATTGTAAGAAAACAATGGCCACAAATTGAATGTGGCGTTATCTGACAAGAGAGCAAAAGATGCTCTCAGCACACTCTTAGTGCTGTGAGGCATGTCTGGAAGTCACTAATGTCTGGATGAATCAAGTTTTACTAATAATGGAGGCAGCAAATCAAAGTCTTTTCCTTTCCTTTGCTTTGGGGGAAGCTGGAGGGTCTTATTTGTTTCACTATCCTAATACAAATCCAATTGATTTCAGAATTTCCAGAGAAAGTCCTGTCATTGTTTGGGAGCAGAGAGCTAATGAAAAATGACTTTAAACTGTTATTGAACGACAGAGTTAGTAAAGTTTGGTTCTGGCCTGGTAAGTATGTGTAACCTTGAATTTTCACAGCTAGGAAACAAAACTAGAGTTTCATTTTCAAGCTTGTTTGATTCAGATAATTCTTCTTCTTATGTTAGTTCTGGACTCAATATTTAAACATCAAACCAAACCTCAAAAGTACCAACTGTCCTCTCTGCCTACCTGTGAGTGTGTGTTAAACCTGCGTGCAATAAAACTCGCCTTACATTAAAGCCTGAACATTACCTGAAAGCAAGAGAGACGGGGAAGATTCCTGAGATTTGAAACACCTTCAGATTTGTCCTCTCAGAAGAGTTGAACTCACCCACACGTCCAAAATAAACTTCTTTTGGTTTGTGCTGACATCTCGTCCTCTGCTTATTAAATGACGACTCTTGTGTCGTACATTTTCCAGGCGAATTTCTGTAAGAGTTTAACTGTAATTTTCAATAAATACAAGCCGCCAATAGGAAAAGAATTAATTTACATAAATAATTGCAAAGAGCACATGCTGCACTTGTTATTTCAGCTGACTGTCCTGAGTAAAATGCCAGTTTTTCTGCTGTTTCAAGCTAATAAGGGTTTCTTTGGAAATCTGCCTTTCCTTGAACATTATTTTTTTTCTAATCTCTACAGGATGTACATGTTTGCACTTTTATTAAAACTGTGAATGAGTTGCACTAAATCAACATGCAGACTAAGTCCTCACTCTTGGCCCTGATTGGCTGGAAGAAGCAGATTTTAGGGATCAGGGTCAGCTGGGAAACAGCAGCTGCTGGAGATTCAGTGTTTGGCTCAAGGACACTCAATCACGATGGTGTCAGAACCTGTTTCCACAGGGTTTAAAACATGCTGTTCAGACATGATACACAACTTCATTACAAACATTAAAGGTCTTTGTTGACAGCCACAATACAGGTGAGTGTTTTAGCCACAGATCTCACAGCTAAAGCTTTGTGATTTCCTGAACAACCAGAGAAGCTTCTGGTTGTTCTGTCTGAGTTAAAATCAACAGACAAGTTAAAGCCAGGCGACTGATTATGTAACCTACTGCACTACAACACCCCTAAAGCACACAAACACTCCAGTCTGAGTGTGTCATGCAATGCAAACTGGGCTGTACCCACCTGTAAGAGACGAGGCCGACATTCAAATACAGAGACACACCACCAACACTGTCACTCGGGATCCCTTACCCACCTTTACAAAAATATGCTGCCAAATTGACCCAATCATTATTTTTGATACTTTCTCTGATAATTCACTCTCTGGAGGGAGGCTGCCCTTTACACTGATACTTTGTTTTCATCCTGTAAATAACACGTTCATTCAAAGTGACATACAACAACAGTAAACAGTACAACAGTAAAACGCAACACAAGCAGCAATGAGCTCAGTTTGACAATATAACAAGTAACCAACAGTATTACAGGAAAGTTCTCCATGTGTCAAGCAAAGATGCTGGATAAAAAAACAAAGCTCTGCAAGCTGCACCAAGGGTGAAAAACAGTACGCACCTCATGTCTCCTTATTAAGCAGCTTAACACTGGTAACAAAAGTTGAATGTGTACGCAGGACAAAACTATTTCATCTAAAGCTCCTGTGAGAAACTTTTAGTTTGTGTCAACTTTGGTGCCCCCTAGTGTTCACAAAGCAGTCTTATAATCTTGCCAAAATACAAAGCCAAAGCCAAAATACACCCCCATCAAAGATATCGACTGACTGTCCCAGTGATGAAGCCAGAGTCTGTGCAGTCCAGGTGAAATAGCGTTAACATCCCACCCCTTCTGCTAACCAAATCACACATTTAACATACTGCTAACACAACATAGTCAGCACAGCGTACAGGATGATACCTGCTCTAGTATCTTTAAAGCTTTCACTTATTATTAAGGATTCAATCACTCCTTTGTTTGAGTGTTTTTCCTTTCTGTTCCTCCTCCACTTTAATAACCTGGTGCTTGCCAGGAGATGCATTTGCCAACAAAGCTGTTACTCATGCCCCCTTTACAGCATTAAGCAGCTATAGAGAATAAATATTCAAACTCAAATCAGTATGAAATAAACTGATCAAAGAGAGCAAAACCATGTTTAATTTTATGTGTAATTTATTTCATAGTTTGACTTATGTCCCACCTGCCAACGTGGAAAAGGCAGATTTTATGACCAGTCATTCAGCGAAGCTTTAAATGCTTTGGCTTCACTTTTAATGAGCTGGCATGTCAACCATCTTTTGGGTGAGACACACTCAGGACACCTGATTTGTTTGTCAGAAACTTTACGTTTACGACGTTCAAGACACTACAGGACACGTCACAAACAAATCAGTCTGAATCTGTGCTTAAAATCATCTCTCCCTGTCTAGAGGTGCTTTCACTCCAATGGCTTGTTTGCTTTGCTCCAAAATCAGAGGACAAAATCATAGTTTCCTTTAAGTCTGTTTGCGTTCACTCTGCATTATTATCAAACCAAAGCACACACCGTCAGGGGGACTGTCCTTACGTCATTACTTCACAGTCTCCTTTCTCCGCTACGAAGGTAAACAAATGTCATATGCACTGATCGCTCTGTAAGCCTGTCTTCAAGATGCTAACTTTCATTAGCCAGTTAACCGACAAATTAAGTTCAGGTTGATTTGGAGGTTAAATGCCTCACTGACTCATTGATCAAGGACCAGCAAAACCAGCTTGGAGTAAATGGAGGTCATACAAATTCTCCTGGTCCAGATTTTTCTGTTGATAATGGAGTTGCTGTTTTTAGGCATACGACCTCTCCTACTACTGAAAATGATAACTCAAGAAACTACTCATTCTTGTTGTTTGGTTGATTATATTCTCACTGCCAGTAAAACCGCTCCAAGACCACCTCTTTTGTATCATCTTAGCTTTTTTGTTTCCTCCTGCATCAGAGTGCGATTGTTGTGTTCATATATGATCCCTGTTTCATAAGAACTACTCCAAACCATCCAGGTGTGAAAGCCCCTGAAGTTCACAAGACTAAAGGGTTCGGGCGTCAGTGTAACATGTGACATAAATAGCTTTTCTCGTTTGGGAAGCTTCTCAAACATCTTTTCATGATACCTCAAAAAAAAAAAAAGGACCGCCTGCTGATCAAGAAAAGCTGATTCATACTCTTGCTCCCTTTTAAAAACTCTCCATGTAAATATTTGAGACCAATTTGAGACCAAAGGGGTTACAATGATTCATTTAAGGCGATTAAAGTTGCTTAGTGCTGCAGGGAGTGGTACCAGGCCCACTTTTAGACTCCTGACCTGAATCCCTGTATAGAAAATGGAATTAGTCCCAAGTTGAGATCGCACACGGCGTTTGACAAACTTGCAGAAAGAGACTCTGCGTGTGTGTTCGTGTGTGTGGTGAGCTGCTGGTGCTCTTACATGAAGGGGCCATCAGAGAGTTTGAATATTGAAATAAGGATGAAACCAGCTGGACATTACAGGGAAAACGCTGTCAATGAGTTTATCGAATTTCATTTACCATGTGAGGGGAAACACACACACACACACCCCAAATACACAAACGTAGACAAGGTCTCCATTGATTCCAAATTCAGTATCAGTAATTGAAACAAACTGGCAGCCACGAAACGAGCTCTGTGTCCAACAATGCTGTGTAACCTCAAACATGAGACACTTTCAGAGAGAACACTCCACACACCCACGCGTTCACACTCAACTCTACAACATTTACCTCATGGAAAGAGACATCTAGATACAGCAAAATCTGTTTAGAGCAAATAACTGCAGGAGGTAACGGTCAGTATCAATAGATTGGAAAACAAAAAAAGAGGCACGAAAGAAGGAAGAAAAGAAAGAGAGAGAGAGATGGAAAGAAAAACAGAAGGAACAAACTGATGTGAGAACAGACCTACCACCGGTCTGAGAGCCCTGAGAGGTCTGGAGTGGGCGACCAAGCGAGTCAGGGTGTCCTCCTCGCCCGGCCGGTCGACGACATGAGCGTCGTACGCCACCATGATGGACACCTCCTGCATCATCCTGACTCCTTTTGAAACCCCTCCAACAGCGAGGAGGAGGAGAGGATGAAGATGGAGAAGGAGAAAGAGAGAGCTGTGCAGCTGACAGGTTTTGTTTCTCTCCCAGAACTGAGGAGGCGACTGGCTGCTTTCAAGAGTCCCTCAGGAGGAGCTGAGCCCCGCCCACTGAGAGGTGGAGGAGGAGGGGCAGGGGGGAGGGAGCGAGGGGGCAGTACAACACACCTGTTTGTTTCTCCTTCTCTCTCTCTCTCCCCTCTCCCCCTCTCCTCTGTAACGCTAGAAGTGTGCAACAAAGAAGGATGAGTTGGCTTTTTCTTCCTCTCCACTGAGTGAGTACTTCCTCCTCTCTCTCCTTTCCCCCCTCTCTTATCGTTGTTCTCATGTGTGCCTCTCTCTCTCTCTCTCTCTCTCTCTCCCTCGCTCCTTCTCTTGGGCTCTCTTTGGGTTTCTTTTATCTGTTTCCTGCTACGGGTAAAAACGAAGATAAAAGCTGTCAGACACATCTAGTACACCATGCGAGTGTAAAAGTCTGTGTTTGTGTTTGAGGTTAGGAGAGATAGGAAGGAAGTTGGCGGATCAACCACAGTGACTTTCGTTAATAGTTGCAAACCGTCACAACAGATAAACGCAGGAAGTGAAGGGACAGGCTGTCCTAGATGATGCTGGATACTATAACAGACCCACAAGGGACCCCCTACTACTTAACAACCTCGTTTTTGTCATGGAAACAGGCTCCTCCTCTTTCCTCTTATTTCTGGAATGCATTAAACCTTTGTGTCCATGAGTTGTTATCTCTCTGTCTCTTTTTCTTCTTTTTTTTTTACTGTGACTGTAAAATGTCCTCTCAGTTTTACTAGTCTCTAAATTAGATTTAACAAATCTTTTAAGCCGTGCAGTAATGATGCAAAACTTTAAACTCTGAAGGAAACTTCCTTAAATTACAGCCAATATCATCATGACTCCAGCGATTATACTAATGTTTACAAAATTTGTGACTCCCAGCTTTTTAGTGCAGAATTTCTTGCCTCTGATGAGCGAGTGTTTTCAAAAGACAGCAGCAGCTGTGGAGAAAAACTCACAACATTCAGTATTTCCACAGAGAAATCTCCCTGACTGAGGAAGACTGGGCGAGTTACAAAAATATCTGCTGAGACACAATGAATTATTGAACAAACTAGTATAAATAATACAAGTAACATGAATAAAACAACATGTTCATGAATAACATAAATGCTAAATGACGAAAACTGCCTCTACAACTCAAAGATAAGGGAGCAGAAATATCGTAAAATCAAATATTTTGTGTTCACTAAAATTTGACTTCACTTTCAATTAACTATGAAATCATTATAAGATTTCGGTTTTGCTCCTCTGGTACGACTAAAACATGGTAATAGTTTGTTAGTTTAACTACATTGATGCTGAATGTTCTTGTGTAAAAGTTGTGGCTTTGAGTTGTAGCTAAGAGGGAAGTCAGTCTAGTTAACAAGGAAATTTGGTTCTACAGTCAGCAGATACATGAGAGATCAGTTTCAGTTTCATAAAACCACAAACAGTGTTTTTATTTGCCCTGGCAGGTCCGATCTTTTAACAAAACCAAAACAGTTCAGCCTCTTCAGCGCAAAAAAGCCCTCAGCATCAGCTGTTTTTTTGTCTCCACATTCACCACCTCTCAGTTCAGTTTTGAACAGCATCGATTTTATTAGCCATTTAACATTATTTAAGGCAGTATTAAGAAAACTATTAATCATAAGGAGTGGTTTCTTATTATTAGCAGTATTTTTGGGCTTTTATGTCTTTATTCGGAGATCATAGGACAGTGGAAACTAGGACAACTCAACCAGGAGGACAAACAGGCATCCCATAAAGAATTTCTGACAGACTTGACGATGATGGAAATTAAAGTGCCATGTGAAAATTTATGTAACCCAGCAAAAACAAGGGCTCTGATATTGAAGTTGTGAGTGCTGCCGGTGCAAAACACGGTGTTAATGGAAACAGGCCCTTAATTTTGGGTCCCAAAAACAGCCAGAGAGCTACTTTGAAACCAGAGACACATTTTCATGACAAGAAGCAGTGACACTTTGGAAGAGAACTGGGACCAAATAGACAAAATGAAGTTCATATAGCCGACAGTCTTGTGCAAGTCAGAATTACATAAACATTAGGGTTTTTATCAGGGTTTTTAAAACAGTTACGTTCCTTTCTAAATTTGTGAAATAAGACACCGCTGTTATTTTGAAAACACTTGAGGACTAAAATTGTCATGAACATAATTTAAGGACATGACCCCCTGACATTTTACTTTAAAAGTCAGCAACAAACTCTGGATTAACTCGAACATTTACCTTAACTCTTTCTTGGGTCCAGACTTGCTCATTGTTTTCTACGGACTGGGTGGCTTGGTTTTGTTCAGCATTTTAGTTACTTTGCCTTTTTAACTTCTATAGGTTGTGAACAAAGTATCTGTTTTAGTACGTTATTGTGTTAAATCATGAATCAGGAAATTCTGGCATAAAATAAGATCAAATACAGGTTTCACAATGCACAGAAACAAACAATTCAGACCCAAATGTATCACCTGCTGCTGCACATGAGCTTATAGCTGTAGGCTGTTAAACAAAAGCACCCTCCAACTCTCCCTTTACTTCTTTTGTTTGCGTCTGCGTATTCCTCTCTTTTTAATATTTTAATCCCTCTAATGTGAGCGTCTTTCTGTAATTTCAGTCTTCATAAATCCATGTCGGTCTTTTTTCTGAGACTCTACATCTGCCCCTCTCCATAAACTATTCTGTGTGTCACTCTCCTCTTTCTAAGCTCTCCTGTTGGAAGGATTTACCGGAAAACGGATTAATCAGTCAAACCTTTAAACAGCGAATGAATATATAAGATTTCTGTCCTGAAAAGTCATCACTCCAGCAGCAGTCCAGCGGTTGTTTAAGAAGGCTGAGAAATTCAAATTCTTCCCATAATCCCCTGAAAGGCTAAGCCACCCCAGTGCCCATTGGGTTCATCAAGCCAAGGTGCCAGTGAATTCTTTCGATGTTTTAAGCAGCTTACAGAGTTCGGCTGATCCGATTTAAACGTCGACGGGGAGAAATATGTAAAAAGGAGGGGTTAACAGAAGAAAGTGGCTCAAACAGGCTGGTTTCATGTTCTCTTTTTTTAACTCTCTACTTCTACCAGCTTTTTTCTTTAAACGATGGGAAAAAAATGATGAGCTTTGGTCTCAGAATCAGACTTATCAATCAGACTGAACATGAAGGTTGACACAAGTGATGAGTTGTAGGGGAAACATTTACTGTATTAGTCTGAGACAACCCTGTATACTGTATGAAATGACCCTCTTTTCAAGATTAAGTTTTGGAAAATACCCAAAGTATGATTAGAAATGACTAACATCGTCTACAAACTAACTTTCTTGGTTGAAAAAAAAAGCATATGCAGCCTCAATGATCTCAAAGGCTTGCTAGTTGACAGCTTTGATACTGGGGGTACTGAGAAGGACATAAGAGCATCTAAAAATGTTACATCAGACTCTGGATAACTCAGACATACCTTGAATTCTGTAGAGTAGCTCACAAAATAACAAACACAGAAGATAGAGCGGAGTCAACATAGCTGTGATACCGCAAACGGTGAAATATCCTGTTTTTCACGCTGCTTTGACCTGCTGTGATCTGTTGGTTGACTGATAAGCTCTATTTGGATAGATAGTGACAAAACTTAGGAAAAGTGAGATGATAAAGACAGCTACACTCTTTTTTACTCTCAAGTCTCTGCTCTTCCCTCAAAGTCGACTTTCATCTCTCTACCTCCGGTGGATTTGCTTCACATTTCTCCTCTCCACTGGGAGTTTTCTATTTTAACATGAAAAGAGTGACTGGTTTGAAAACACATCAGTGAGGAAAAAGAGGTTTTGAAGAGAAGAGCTTACAAATCTCAAACACACACACAGACAGCTGTGTAAACTTTGGCTGTTAGATTATCTCTAGTATTTGAGTTTAATTATTAAAACGGCTTTCTCTCAGTGGTACCACGCAGGTATGCATGTGTTTGTCGCGTGTTTGCTCAGGACCTGATACTGCTTTGGGCGTGTACTGGAGGCTCCACAAAGGATGTCTGGACGGTCTGATGAGTCTGAATATGAGGTAAATCATAAGATATGGCCTCAGAGCTACCAAACTACAATTCAGCCAAGTACCTTTGTTTTTGTAACAGCGCTTAAACTACCACAACACACAACAACAGAAGATCCCACATGTAGAGTCAGTAACACTTTACTTGACGCCTATCTCTATAACGCATTATAAATAGCTGTATAATGCATTATAATCATGTTATTACACTGTATAACTATAGTTATAAACACTCATAAATGATGATAATGCTTTATAGCAATAATCATAACACGTTATAAAGCATTTTGCCATGACTTACAAAGTCTGGTATTGTAATGTGTTATGATTATTGTTAAAAAGCCTTATGATAATTAATGAGTGTTTATAATGGCAGTTACACAAGTTGATAAGCAAATTATAACACATCATAAATAAATGTATAATGCATTATCTGTGTGGGCATTGTCAGTGAGTTGTTAACAGTTATAACACATTATAATACTTGACCTTGTAAGTCCTGATAAAATGCTTTATAAAGTGTTATGATTATTGCTATAAAGCATTATGATCATTTATGAGTGTTTATAGCTATATTTATACAGTGCTATAACATGATTATAATGCATTATACAGATATTTATAATGTGTTATGATTATTCCTATAAAGCATTATGATCATTTGAGTGTTTAAAGTTATACTTATACAGTGCTATGACATAATTATATCGCATTATACATATATTCATAATGCGTTAGAGATAGGCCTCAAGTAAAGTGTTACCGTAGAGTCTGTGCAGAAGAAGCCAGGAGGAATGAACTATGGTTTTATGTGTTTGTGTTTGTGCCTGTAACAGGAACATGTACATGTGTTTGCGTGTGTTCTAGTACAACATAAGGTTGAACACAGCAGGTTGTAATGCCGCAGAATTGTGCAAGAGTGCCAAAAAGCGACCCAACCACCGAAGATAAGGAGTGCGTCACAGTACAGGATATCCTGTGTGTAGAAAAACACAGAAATACACTTTAAAACACAGAGGGAGCGTAAGCAGACAGAGTCATGTTCTCTGCCAACATGCCTTTGGGCACAACACTACATAACAATCTGCTTACTCAGTGAAAGCTTTTTTTAGATAAGGAAGACTGAAAATGTCTGAA